TTAAGATCAGATGTAATGGGAGCAGTTACGGTGCAGGGATGCGTTCGTGGCACGCAGTGTCTCCATGATTTAAAGTTTTGTGTAGCATGGGAGTATTTTCATTGGACGCATCTGTATTGAATTTGATGGTCCAGGCGAAAGAGCCGGGGGGTATGAGGGGGCCAGGGGCGGGGGACGGCAGTTGGTGGCCAGTCGAGTGTGACGGTGCGCTGTGGGGGCATCAACCCCCGTCATGACCACCTCTACTGGGCATGCGAGGAAGGCGCGGTGTCCCCCACCAACACCCTCGGCGTAATGCCACGCGGGTCAAGGAGGGGCAGCGGGCACTGGTTGGTCGTAGGGCGCCACCAGGGCCTAGTGGCTAGGGGCCTCCTCAGGTGCCACGATGCCCATTGAGACGTGAGGGGACGTCCTGCCAGGGGGCCTTCCTGCGATGGCTATCTCCGCACGGCCCCGCGTCCGCCCGGGATTTATAGGCGCATCCGAGGGAGGGGATGGGAGGCGTGATAAGGCCGGGAGGCGGTGTAAAAGCGGGCCCGGCCGATAACCGGGAGGCCCTTTGGACGGCGGCGGAATACTGGAGACGCGGAGCGATGGGGTCGCAGGAAGGCGGAGATCCTCTGCGGTGACTTCGCTTTTTCAGTAACGCTTAACGAGAGCGGGGCTGGCCGGGCGATCGCTGTCCTCCTTGCCCGGAGCCAAAGTCCTTGCCTCAAGAATTCGGCCCAAACAAGCCGCCGCCGGTGCTTAGAATATCGGCCGCATCGTTGCAGCGAGTTCGTGTGACGTTGTGGGCGTGACGGTATTCCCGGGCGGCGCAACAATGCCTGACTCGTAGGCGGGGGGGCGAGGTGGCGTACCATCTGGTATGCTTTGGATACGCACTGGTAGCTAGATAAGAGATAGCAGGAATAGTGATTTGGCTATGTATGTAATAGGGATGGGTATTTCGTAATATCTTCTGATTTGTTATTTATTAAAGGTGTTTACCGTTATATGATTTCACTCTCAGTTTCATTCTTGCTCCCCATTCACGGACCTAAGCACTAACATGACTTGTGTTCCCTCTGCAGGACCTTCAGCAGGAGGTGATGACGAGGAAGGGTGAGGTGTCGAGCATCAACCTTGCGGTCCACAGGTTCATGACGGAGACCGGCTACTCCCTGGCGCACCTCAAGGACGAGGTGGCGGACCTCTACCGGCTGTGGGACGAGGCGCACAAACGGTAAGCTTTTTAAAGGCTTTCTTTATAGTTTGTCTTGGCGGAAATGCAGACTCTTGGTTCTGGACCGTAAGTTGAGAGTATAAGAATCTTGCTTGCGTTTCCGTATTAATTCTAATGCTTGCAGTTTGTTTGTCAACCATTCCCGCTTGCCCCCACAGAGCCAGCAGCGAGCTGTCGCGGCTGGAAGGCGTGGAAGCCACGTGGAGACTGTGGGAGACACAGGCGGAGGAGCTGCGCCGCGCCCTCCGCAAGGACTGCGACACCCTCAAGGTCCTGGACGCCGCCATCCAGACGGGCTCCCTCACCGACACCGCCACCGCCTCCATGCAGGACGTCGAGAGACTCCTCAACGACCGCCGCAAGTCCCAGCCCGGGAAGAGACTCACCCTCCAGCACACCAGGACGCAGGTAGGCCGGCCTCGTGCTCTCGCCCTTGCCAGGTCACTTCGGGGGTCAAGCGAGGCAATCCTCGTTGTTATTCCCAAACCTCCTGAACTTTCCCTTTTGGCTTGTTTATTTGTTGTGGCTCATTAAACACTCGAGACGCCTTGGTGGTTCTTGGGGCCAGGATGCTTGGCGAGGAGGGCGGTCAGGCGCGTTTGGGCCTGTTCGGCGGAGGGATGGCGGGCGGCGGCCCAGTGTGACCACTCATCAGTATGCCGGATGCCTTCCATTTCTTTTTTTGTCTTCATCCTCCTACCCCTCCTTTTCTTTCTCCTCCTCTTCTTCCTCCTCCTCCACTCCACCTCCACTTCCACTTCCACCACCACCTTCTACTTCTTCCCTCTCATTATTCGTCCTCTTCTTCCTATTATTATTATTATGCTGCTTCTCCTCCTCCTTTTTCTTCTTCCTCCTGGTTTTCTTCCCATTCTTAACATTTCGTCGATTTCCTTTCCTCTGTCCCTTCTCACCAGTGTTCCTGTCTCACATTTTCTACACTGGACATCTTTGCCCCTAAATGTGTATGGCCCTTTTTATCCTCTTTCCTTGTCTCTTATCTCATATCCCTTATCCCTTCCCTCTTTACCTCTAAACCCCTTAACTTCCATTCTATATCCGTTGCCACTTACCCCATACCTCGTATCGCTTTCTTTAGCCCTTATCCCGTGCCTGGTATCCCTTACCCCTTATCCCCTACCTCGTATCCATTACTCCTGATGCCTTATCCCTGATCCCTGATCCCTTATCCCTTATCCCTTATCTCCCCTGCTCCATCCTTCACCTCCCTCCAGAATCGGCCCGGCCGGGGGGTCTGCCGCCCTCCTCAATCTTATTTAAATGGGAGAGAGCTTTCTCTCGGCTGCTACTGACATCCACATTAATCAACAAATTGGGAGGTGTCATCGAGGGAAAAATATGAGCGGGAAAGGCTGCGTGTGTGTGTGTGTGTGTGTGTGTGTGTGTGTGTGTGTGTGTGTGTGTGTGTGTGTGTGTGTGTGTGTGTGTTTATTTTAGCGTTATATGATACGTATGGCAATCTGCTAATGACCATAGTTAGGAAGGTAAAGATGGGAAGGTGCCCCCCTTCCCCGCTGTCCTCCATCCATACCTACCCCCCCCATGCCCCCTCCCCATTTAAACACCTAGAGAGACTAATGGTGGTGTTGACAGCGCTCATCAAAGCCTCGGAGACAGACAGACAAACAGACGGACACGACCTCCTCCTCCCCCCTCCCCTGCCCGTCACCCCAGCCGTCCCCCCCCATCCCTCAGCCCCCATTCCTCCGTCAGAACTGATAATAGTCGACCCTTGTTTTGCGATAAAACGTGCCAGGGCCTCGTCGCTTGGGCAGGGAGTGGGGCGCGTGTGTCTCTATGGACGTATGTGCTTGTGGGTTGTGTGTGTGTTTTCGGTCTTCGTGTGTCTAGAGAGGGAGGGGGGTTAGAATATGAGAGATAGATGGATAGGTTGATTAATAGATGGGCAGATAGAAAGATACATACATACATAGATAGTTAAATAGATGAATAAGGTATGTAGATAGATAGATAGATAGAGGGAAGGAGGATAAGGCAAAGGGAGATCGTAAAAAGATTTATCATTGAAAAGGGGTATAGTGGAAGAGAAGTGAGAAAGCTCCTTTAAATTCGATAGCGAAATAGGATGAACACTTGCGTAGCGACCAAAGGCGCTGGACGTCAGCGATGGACTCCCTCGAAGGCCGGAGCCGAGGGACGGGGAGGGGGGGGGGGAGCGAGGATTATACCCGGGATAATCAACCTTTTTGTCGTTATTTATGCGGGGTTCATTACTGGAGGCAGGGGCGTGCTGGCGTGGGGGCGGCGTGGGCGTGACTGGGAGAGGCCCGGGACTCGCTGATGAGCGGCCATTTGCGCGCCTTGTCGGCCATTACGCTTTCACGCAAGCAGGTCATTGTGAGTCCGAGGCGGCGGCGCCCATAACACCTGTCCATACAGCCTATCCCTCAGCCTGCAGGAGGCCTCGGAGCTCCTAGGCCTACCGTCGGTCCCTGGCGAGCTATCCCTGGAGACCGATTATCGCCACGCTGTGTCTCTCGGGGCACTTGATAGCTTTTCGGGGCTCGGCTTTTTTCAACATTTGCTTTATGTTTTGTACTCTATGAAATTTTACTACATAAGTTTACGGCTTAGATCAGGCTCAGTCGAGCAACGCCATGACCTGAAATTATTCTGTGACCCAGTTCGAAAGTAACCCTTTTTTTTCCTCCTCCGCAGGGCGTGGACATCCAGGGTTCGACGACGTCTCTGGGAGCCTCCGGGGACGAGTGCCTGAGCGACTCCGGCACCTCCGGGTACGAGTCGTGTTCCTCCGAGGAGCTGAGCGAGCGCGAGCGACGCCTGGCGCACCTGAGGAGGCTGGCGAGGGACCTGGAGGCGTCCCTGCACCCCAACTCGCAGGCGTGGGCTGCCATCACTAAGGTAAGCTCTTCTGGACTGCTTTGAGGGACCGATTGTAAAGGCTTTCATGTGCCCGCATGGAGGATCTGTCGTTCTTATTTCGTTGAGAAATTATGGATATATTTGCTTAGGTTTAAGGAAATAATTGTCTCAGTGGAAGAAACGGACTTGGGCAGATTCATGCATGGCTGCCTTTTAATTGGGGGAAGGGAAGGGTGTTTCGGAATGCAGTGTTGCCAGACGCGATTGATCACCCGTCGGGCGGAAGGCCGTCGGGAGAGAAGGAGCAGATAATAAAGTCTCCGGTTCCTTGCAGACCTTGTCCAGCGCCGAGTCGGAGCTGAAGGACCTGCAGAAGCACTGCCGAGAGCTGGTGGTGCGGTCCGCCGAGAGCCTCGACCAAGCCAAGACGTCCCCGCAGCTAAGGTAAGGAAGGACCCGACGATCTGGGGATTTTAGGAGGCGCGATGGTTAGGGTGAAGGGGGAGAGGGGGGGAGGTAGAAGGATGGGGTGTTGGGTTGGGGGGGAGGAGGGTCAGAGGATTTGGATTATGAATTGTGTTCGGAATGAAGTAGGAGAGACCCAGGGTAGTCGAATGTAGACTTTTCATCCTCAAATTATCCACTTTGTCATCTGCTTTTTTTCTCTGATAATAACGACAATTAACAGTTAAGAAAAGGGCATAGAAAAGGTACGAAGGTGACAAAGCCAAGACGGGGATGAAATCTGCATTGTGCGAAAGAGGAAAGCAGGCGCCCCGGGGAAGCCTCGCGCCGGGGGGAATCGCCGAAGCGCGATGCACGAAAGCAGTAGCCTCTGCGTTGGCGAGGGAGATAAATAGGAGGCCTCGGGTGCACACGGCGAGGCTGCGGTGTGTTATGGTGAGCAGCGGAGGAGAGGACAAGACGCCACGTTAATAGCGCCGTCACGATCCTTCTTAAGACCAGTCAAGGGGTACTTCTTTCTTTTCTCGTCTCTACCCCCCCTACACACACCGCCCTTCCCCCTCTTTCTGTGACCGTCTCTTGTCTTTTTTTCGCCTCTTTATGTCCCGGTTCTCTCTCTCTCTCTCTCTCTCTCTCTCTCTCTCTCTCTCTCTCTCCTCTCTCTCTCTCTCTCTCTCTCTCTCTCTCTCTCTCTCTCTCTCTCTACTCTCTCTCTCTCTCTCTCTCTCTCTCTCTCGTCTCCTCCCTCTCTCCCTCCTCTCCTCCTCTCCTCTCCCCTCTCTCTCTCTCTCTCCCTCTCTCTCTCCTCCTCTCTCTCTCTCTCTCTCTCTCTCTCTCTCTCTCTATCTCTCTCCCTCCTCCCTCCCTCCTCCCTCCCTCCCTCCCTCCCTCTCTCTCCTCTCCCTCTCTTCTCTCTCCTCTCTCCTCCCTCTCCCTCCCCCTCCTCTCTCCCTCTCTCCTCTCCTCCCTCCCCTCTCCTCCCTCCCCTTCTCTCTCTCTCTCTCTCTCTCTCTCTCTCTCTCTCTCTCTCTCTCTCTCTCTCTCTCTCTCTCTCTCTCTCTCTCTTCTCTCTCTCTCTCTCTCTCTTCCCCTCTCTCTCCCTCTTTCCCTCCCTTCTCCCTCTCCCTCCTTCCCCTCCTCCCTCCTCCTTCCCTCCTCCTCCTTCCCTCCCTCCTCCCTCTCCCTCTCCCTCCCTCTCTCTCTCCTCCTTCCCTCCCTCCCCTCTCCCCCCCTCCTCTCATCCGAAATGCCCAGGAGGCCATCCCGGAGAAAGGAGGGTCGGCGAGCGCGAGGCCGTAAGTAACTCTCCGTCAGTAAACTCCTGTGTGCTCCTCGCCGGCGCTCGCTTATTAAGGGGATCGAATGGATTGCCAGGAGGTCATTGTTTGCAGATAGGGAAACGAAAACCGAAAGAAGTAAGCGCGATAAAGAAGGAGAGGGGACGAAGGGGAGGGTCGGCGAGGGGGTGGGGGTGGAGGGTTCGCCGATGGGGGAGGGGAGGGGGGGGAGGCCCGCTGGTGCGTGTATCGGCCAGATTTGCAATCGTCTCGACGCCGCCAATCGGGGAGATTTGCGGCCGATTGTGCATTATCTCCACATCGGCATCTCGTATTATCCGGGGATTTTCCAGCCGTAATGCGAAACAGAAGGTGACAAGTGAAACGAACCATGATTGGCCGGGTCATGGGAAGGGGGCGGGACTCGACGTGGGCGGCGGCCGCTGATTGGCGGATGCCGTTCCCGCACCTTTTTCGGAGGTCATTACAGATCAATGATTCGGTTTTATCATGTATAGACCAATCGGCGGAAAATGGATTTGCTTGTGGTACATTAGAGGCAATAAATAGCGGGCGGATGGCGGAGCCCCTGGAATCCCCCCCCCCCCTTGCACTGGCTCGGTCAGCGTCGGTCACTTAGTGTGTGTGTGTGTTTGTTTGTTTGTGTGCCTGTCTTCGTTTGGGTGGGTGTCTATGTCTGTCTGTCTGCCTGCCTGCCTGTGCTTGAGTGTGTGAGTATTGTAATTTAAGAGAAAGGTCCAGTGAAATGTTAGAAGTGGTGATCGCGGAGAAAAGGCAAGATTTAGGCTAGCGCGGGACAGGTTACACAATTGAATTCCATATACTTGTAAAATGAAGCTCAGTATGTATTCATGTGACAGTCAGGGATGTCTCCAGCGCCTCAGTCAGCCACTTGCGGGCGGACAGCGCGGGAGGCCCTGGCCGAGTGGCACCGGTTGCTAAAGAGTGCTTTTCCCTTTTCAGGAGACGCAGCTGGACCAAGGACACGAAGGGGAGTCGGACAGGCCGCCTGGAGCGCCGAGGTCACTGTGCCTTGAGTGGGCGTGATGGATGTGGGCGTAGTGTGAGTAGTGGGCGCCGTGGGTGGATGTGGAGAGTGGTGCGGGCGGCTCTGCCGTTCCAGGCCGCCCTCCTCCTGCTGTTCTGCGTGGCGTGCCTGCTGGAGCCCAACTGCTGCGACCACGTGAACACCCTCAACCTGTCCCTGAGCCCGCAGCTGCGCTACGTGCACGGCCCCCCGCCCGTCTGAGGCACTCGGCCGCCCCTGTATATTTGTTGTCTCTTACCTGTCCTGTACGTCAGGTGTACATAACCCCCGCCACGATGTACATACCATGGCCTGGTGTACATATGAAGGCAAAGTGCAGATACCCCGGTCGGTTGACCCTCATACCCGCTGCGTGTGTACCCGCGCGGGACCCGTGTGCGTCGGCGCACGCGCGTCCGCGCCGGCCGAGCGAGAGAGAGGGCCGGGATGAGCGAGGCAGGTGTAGATGGCTGTGACCCTGCATGCCCTGGGGCCCTGCAAGCCCTGCAGGCTCTGACGGGACCCCTGCTCGGGACGTGACGCAAGCCCCCGCTCGCGCCGCCCGCCCACGAGGGAGCGGCAGCGCCCCAACCCTCACTCACACACGCCCACAAACCCGTCACTACGTCATGTCAAATATTTTTGTATACACTTAATATATATACTGGTAATGTGTGTGGATGGAAGAGAAGCGTAGTGTCTAGGAACGAGAGTCGTGGGTGCAAGGGCGCGCGTGACGCTGCATGTCTAGTAGGGTGATGTGTTGTGTGTTTGAGATATAGATACATCTATATATATATATGTATGTGTACCCAGCAATACTGGGTTGTAATTCTAATTAAAGCAGTGTGAATATTTTAAACTAGGCCCTGTAAAGATATTTTAGAAAAGGTTGAAAATATATATATAATGATTTAGGGTGATTGAAAATGTATACTGAAAATTCTTCGAATGGTGTTTGCTATATAGGTCTGACCAAAGCCCTCTAGGGTTTGGTTACTAAGGCGGCCGGCCCTTCGCGGTCGGCCGCCCTCGGGAGGTGCGTGCCAGGGCGCTCGCATGACTTCGGGTCGTGCCATGTTGGTGCCATCTCCCACAGTACTATGACAAGCCAGGCTACCCGGCATTGCGGGAACCAACACGGATTCGTTTGTGACCTGTGGGTAGCCGAGGCTCCTTCGGGAGAAGGCTAGAAGCGCCTCGCCAGGAGACACGGAGGCGCGGGCATTGCATGGAGGCCGCCAGGCGACCCTTGCGGTCAGTGCCGCGGACATTGCCTTGCTCGATACCTGATACCACGCCCTGTGCTGGAGGCGCCGCCGACTCCCACTTCTATTACTATCATGATCCCAGTAAGGTCGGCTGAAGGCATGAATTCGTGGGCCCTGCGGCTCATCCTGTCCCCAGGGTGCCCAACAGACGGCCGGAAAAGATCTCGACACTTTAGCGAACAGTCGCTTTTAAGACACCTCATCTGGACATTCAACCGATAGTCCAGGAATGGACCGCGACCCTAAACGTTCCAGCATCTGTCCTGTGCGAGAACTGGACGCCTGCCCGTAGCAAAGTCTAAAAACCTTGGTCAGCAGAAAGCTCATGGTGGGCGCACGGACGCCCCGCCACTTTCGACTCTTTGTTGAGGCCTGCAGATGGCCCAAGACTCGAGGTGCACGCACAGCACGGACACGCCCATTACCAGGGCTCTTTGTCCTTAGACATGCTGTTGCCCCAGTCTTTCGGTGCCATTATCATAAGGCCCAGCATTTGGAGCACGTATCCAGGGTGCAAGGATCGTTCTGCCAGGGCAGGCAGAAGTAGGTATAAGGGATTGGAAATCCATACCCGTACCAGTGTGGGTAAAGGCTGACACCACCATTTTAGGGTCCGGCATTAAACACCATGTATATCAGCCTTGATAAAAAGTAAATAAGGTAAGGCATGTAACACCCTAGTGTAGGCTCGACTCTTCAGCTCCTGCTCTAACAACAACAATAGGCGGGGCGGGATTCTTCGTGGTCGCGGCGCAGAAAGTGCAGGCGCGTCGGCAGACTGGGCGGACGAGCAACAATTCGACAGAGCGACGGCCGCGACCATTTGTGAGACTCCCGCCTCGCGCCTCAACATCGTAGCCTTAAGGTCACTGCCTCAGCAGAGTTACAGGGGAATGGACGTTAACAACAACAAAACGATTATTGAGTAGGCTTGTTACTGAGCCTTAATGAAAATTGATGATCTGAACACTCAGATGTGTGTGAGCTGCCATCGTCCCCTTTTCTCGACCAGCAATTGTAGTTTTGATGAGGATGATAAGTATTAAGAAGGATGAATAATGCGTGTTCGACACGCAGAGAATTTAAAGGAATTTAGGTATTTTTATATAGGGTTTGAGACATGGCCCTCCACGCGGGTGGACGGCCATGTCGACAGGGTTCATTCTGCGGCGAACATTACCACGCCTTATTCACACTGCATTTTATTCTATTCAAACATATCCCTTTATTTAACAGGATGGGAGATTTGTTTTATTTTCTTATGGTGCTAATTAAGAAAATTAATCTATTCTATTCATTTTACAGTGTATGATTACAATTTACGTAGTAATGTATGCCAAAGGCTTTTTTCTACTGTATTCAGTGGTTTGCGTTGTTTTTTGTACGTGGATGATGATTTTTACTACAAAAGGGTTAAACTTTATATTTATTTTATATGAAAAAATTGTAAGAGTTGTTTGATTGAATGGTTCAAAAATATCTGGATGGATTAGAGTTTTCCTATTTGTTTACTAAAGGACGGAGGACTGGGTGGGTTGTAGTACCTTAGTAGTTTAAGGCGCAGGAGAAAGAAGCTGCTGCCTCTGTTCAGTCAACCAATTCTCTCCCAGCCACAGTCATTGTTCCTAAAATGTTGAATGTGCGCTTTTTACGCTATAGGAATTAGGGTGTCCACCTCGGAATTGGCAGGAGTGGAAGGAGTGGGAGACCCCCCTTCTAGGCGAGATTGCAAGTCTGCAGACATGTTGAAATCCGCCTTGCAAGAAGCGGGGGTGCGACCGCCTCCCGCCGCCCTGCCCAGAGATTGATTGCCTTCAGGGTTGCCAGACGAAGCCAGACTTTGCCAGTC